AAAAATCTGGGTGTGAATAGATTCTATGAGTATTAGACTAAGGAAAACAAAATATAACACCAGATTGGTGGTGGTTTATTTGCTAAGTTGTGTCCCACTCTTTCAACACCATGGACTACAGCCCACTAGGCTCCTCTGTCCGTGGGATTTCCCAGGCAAGAACACTGGAGTGGGTAGCCATTCCCTTCTCCAGGGGATTGTCCCAACCCAGGGATCAATGCCATGAATCATTTGTGAAAGATTTAGGATTTAAAGGTTAGTTTCTACAGCTGAAAAGAGCCCCAAGAGTTAACTTTGACTCCATGATGGTCCACATTTAATAAGATTCCTGTTGTTGTTCAGTTGCTAAGTTATATCCAACTCTTTGCTATCATGTGAGCTGCAGCACGCCAGGCTCCTCTGTCCTCCACTCTCTCCTGGAGTTTGCTCAAAGTCATGTCCATCAAGTTGGTGATGCCATCCAATCATCTCATCCTTGGTCGCCCCTTCTCTTCCTGCCCTCAAATCTTCTCTTCCAGTTAGTCAGCTCTTGGCATCAGGTAGCCAAAGTAATGGAGCTTCAGCTTCAGCATCAGTCCTTCCAGTGAATATGCAGGGATGATTTCCTTTAGGATTGACTGGTTTGATCTTGCTGTCTAAAGAATCCTCAAGAGACTTCTCCAACACCACAACTCTAAAGCTTCAGTTCTTTGGCACTCAGCATTCTTTTTTTTTTTTTTCCCCCATTTATTTTTATTAGTTGGAGGCTAACTACTTTACAATATTGTAGTGGTTTTTGTCATACATTGACATGAATCAGCCATGGATTTACATGTATTCCCCATCCCGATCCCCCCTCCCACCTCCCTCTCCACCCGATTCCTCTGGGTCTTCCCAGTGCACCAGGCCCGAGCACTTGTCTCATGCAGGGTCCAGCTCTCACATCCGTACATGACCATTGGGAAAACCATAGCTTTGACTATATGGATTTTTGTCGGCAAAGTGATATCTCTGCTTTTTAATATGCTGTCTCAGTTTGTCATGGCTTTCCTCCCAAACAGCAAGCATCTTTTAATTTCAAGGCTGCAGTCACTGTCTGCAGTGATTTTAGAGTCCAAGAAAATAAAATCTGTCACTGTTTCCAATTTTTCCCCTTCTATTTGCCATGAAGTGAAGGGACCTGATGCCGTGATCTTAGTTTTTTGAATGTTGAGTTTTAAGACAGCTTTTTCACTCTCCTCTTTCACCCTCATCAAGAGCCTCTTTAGTTCCTCTTTACTTTCTGCCTTTAGAATGATATCATCTACATATATGAGTTTATTGACATTTCTCCCAGCAATCTTGATTCCAGCTTGTGATTCATCCAGCCTGGCATTTCGCATGATGTGCTCTGCATAGAAGTTAAATAAGCAGGGTGACAATATACAGCCTTGTCATACTCCTCTCCCAGTTTTGAACCAGTCAGTTGTACCATGTAAGGTTCTAATTGTTGCTTCTTGTCCTGCATAAGGTTTCTAAAATAGGTAAGGTGGTCCGATAGTCCCATTTCATTAAGAAGATTCCACAGTTTGTTGTGATGCACACAGTCAAAGGCTTTCGTGTAGTCAATGAAGCAGAAGGAGATGTTTTTCTGAAACTCCCTTGCTTTCTCCATGATCCAAGGAAAGTTGGCAATTTGATCTCTGGTTCCTCTGTCTCTTAGAAACCCAGCTTATATATCTGGAAATTCTTGGTTCATGGACTGCTGAAGCCTAGCTTAAAGGATTTGAGCATTACCTTGTCAGCATGTGAAATAAGCACAATTATATGGAGTTTAAACCTTCTTTGGCACTGCATTGAAAACTGACCTTTTCCAGTCCTGTGGCCACTGCTGAGTCTTCCAAATTTGCAGATATGCTGAGGGCAGCACTTTAACAGCATCATCTTTTAGGATTTTAGATAGCTCAGCTAATAAAATAGTAGTAGTAGTAGTGTTGTCGCTCAGTTGTGTCCAACTCTTTGGACAGATTCTTTACCATCTGAGCTACAGAGGCCACAACTTCTCATGGCATAATAGAGTCAAGAACCCAAAAGTTTAACAAAGTAGAAATGTTGGAGTGGATCTATCCTGGCAATTTGCACACATAATCCGTCCACCACCACAACCCCAAGAGGGCCCAGCAGATGCTTCGCTGAAGCACCCACTTGCTTATTATATAGGCAAGAGGTCACTAGTGTAGCCCTTTATTAGTCTGCCAGTCATTAGACTCATTGTGCTGCTGCAATATAAGAACTCCATATTTTCTTTCTCCAGCCCCTTATTTATTTCCTTCATGGTACTTACTATAAACTGCAATTATTTGTCTTTTCTTGGTTTTGTTTATTTATTTTTTTTCCTATTTTTTTTTCTGTGTCCTCCACTTACATATCATTCCACAAGAATGACAACTGCATATATCTTATTCACTATTGTATCTTGACTGCCTAACATAGTACCTGGTACACAGGCATTCAATAAAGATTTGCTGAAGGCATAAACAGAGTCAGTCTGTCTTTGCCAACTTTAAATTCTGGTCCTTCCTTCTTCTAGAATACATATATTCAGGAAAACATGATCCCCTCACAGATGATTTACATCTGAATTGAAAACTTGTACAAACTTATAAATCGCCTCTGTGTATTTATTTTTTTCAGCCTAAAACAGATGACTTGGTTTGCTGATATCACCTCTCCCAGTAAATTTATATTATGCCCAGAAAAATGTTTTTCAAAATTTTCAACAACTTAAAAAATTTTTTTTCCTCATAATAAAGGTCATTTTAGTGCCTTCACCATCTGTTTCTGCATGAAAAATGTTTGAAGAGGATCCTGTCTTTTTCCAGAATCACATTTCTGCCCACAGTCATGTGTCACCTCATATCACAAGTTAACAAAATTCTCAAATGCCATTAAAGTGTATCTTCTGATTCATGGGGCAATTTTTGTACAGCCTGGAGCACTTGCTATGAGTGTCACGAGGAAGCTTTTCTTGCTTCTGTATCAAATAGGGGGTGGAGTCATTCATAGTACAACATTTCAAAATTCAATGTTCCATTTAATCAAAAGCTTCTATTTTCAGTCTATGAACCTTTATTTCTAGCAACTACTAAGTGCTTTCACTAAGTCAGTTTTACACACACCCCCCACAAACATACATACAATGTTTTTATCACTGTAAGAGTTATTACACACATTTAACTACTAGTAACTAAGTAAGAAACAGTACTAAGATCCAGGCAATATGTTAACATCATCTACTACATTAAGTAAATACCTCAGACTGCTTAGTGTCACAGGAGCACTCCTTAATTCGAATTCACACCTCAGCAAAACTGCAAGATACTATATGTCTTGGACCTTCAAGGTTGCATTTACATAGTTGAAACTTTGAAAGTTGAAATCCTTAAATACCAAAGACTTATTGCATATCTCACTTTTGCAAAGATCTGTGCCCTCAACAGGGCTTTAAAAAAAATTTAATATACTTTATATTACAAAGATCTGTTTTTCACCTAAAGTGTCTCAATGTGTAATCTGTCCAACAGGACCAGTTATGGTCTGAGTAGAAATAACAACAAAATATACACCTCACAACATACTATATAAATGTTAGTAGTAGATAGCAATGTTAATAATATGGTATATACAAACTTATATAATGTTATATGTCAATTATATCTCAATAAAGCTGGGAAAACAGAAAAATACAGTAGAAATCCTTTCTCTTCTGAAAGAATTAGGGCAGTTTTTTAGCTGGATACTCAGAGAAGTCAGTTAAAGCAAGGAATTCTAGAAAATGATAAGCACACATTATAACCATTTAAACTGACACCATGAGTAAGTATAATTCATTCACCAATCCTCTGTGTAGGGGACCAAGTCTTTATCTGAATTTGGATCTGCTGTCTGAAATTCCAGTCTTAAATATACAACACCCCCACACCCATAACGCATTATCTGTAATTGCAGTTTCAGTTCTTATAAAATGCGGCAAAAACTTCAACATATGAAACAGTCCAAACCGTTTTTTCCCCAATACTTTGCATTTTTCTTGTTTTCCCCTAAGTTGACAGCCAATTTCTAAAAGTACTTGCTTTTCTCACTTTTTTTCAGAGCATTCAACTTAGTTATCGTATTCTCCCTTTTACACTAGTAATTCATCAGTGTACAGAATGCTTAGTAACAAATGCACCTGGCGTAAGTAAGTCTGAAAACAAATAAAGCTGACTGCTAACAGGTAAACCATTAGACCACAGGAATAAAAGTACACAAGCATCATACTGAGAAGCACACGAGCCACAAACAGCGTAGGAGGAACCTAGTTAACACCTTTTACCCAGGAAACGCACAGCATTGGTTTAACCATCTGGTTGGTTAACAAGATGTCAGTTGAAAAGAGTTTTTGCCATATTATAATTCAGGTCTCAAGCACAGCTGTCTAAGAAAAAAGTCCAAAACAGTTTCTCTCTCACATGTATATATGCTGTCCTTTTGCATTTTTCCTCAGTCGTGTATGACATACATTTAAAGACAATGAAGTCAGGGACTTCCCTGGTGGTCCAGTGGTGAAGACTCTACTTCCACTGCAGGGGGTGCAGGTTCCATCCTGGTTGGGGAACTAAGATCCCACATGCCACCTGGCATGGCCAGTAAACACAGACATTGAAGTCAAAGAGTAAAAAAAAAAGAAGTTAGAATACTTAAAAGGAGCAACAGAAAAGGAATGCAGATGTTTAAGGAGAACACAATCAGAGAATCTGATTCTTCACAAAAGCACCTAAATGAGTCAGTAAAACACATTTTAAGCAACTTATAATGGTACTATATTAATTTGAAAAAACTGATCTACCTTTGAAACACCCCATTAACAGCAAAAAAAAAAAAAGAAGCTTTCTGAACCATAAATAAATACATTAATGCTAGATATCTGCTTGAAAACATTAAATTTAGACTATCTGTACTCCTTTTGTGATTATAAGGGGAAGGGTGATATGAGGACTTACTTATCTCACTGGAAACTTGGTTCAGTTTGTCCTGTGATCTGCTGATAAGAACAATTTTCATTCCACGCTTTGCTAAC